CAATATTCTTTACATTTAAAATATCTGTATGTACAGCTCTGATTTTTGACTTAAGATAAATTCTTAGAAGTCAAAGGTATGAACTTTAAAAGTTTTGTACCCATCATGCCAGAATATTCTCCAGTAGGCCTGTGTCCCTTCTCCCACAGTGTGGGAACCCACTGTGCTATGCACTCTTGTCACAGTGCTCTTGCTTATGCCAACACTGGGAATTACAGATAGAATAACAGCAAAAACTTGGATCCCACACATTTTTCTTTTTGTAGTACTGGCAACTGTTTCATGCATGCATGTGAGGCATGTGCTCCACCATTAAGCTACAACTCCAACCCTATTTAAAATAAAATTTTATGTTGAGACAGGGTCTCCCTGAATTGCCAAGGCTAGCCTTGAACTTGTGGTCTTTCTGCCTCARCCTCCAGAGCACCTGGGATTACAGTTGTATACCTTAGCACCTGGCTGTATACAACTTCTAAAAAAATTGTCTTTACTATATAATAATTTTCATTTTTCTGATTATWATACTATAATCTTTCTCATGTAATTTGTACATTATTTTTACATATCCTTTTTTGGTAACTTGATTTGCATATTTTTGGTTATTTTTAAAAAGAACATTTGAATTGTTTATTGATTTGCAAAGGGATTTTTTAAATTTAACATAGATTTTAATCCTTGTTATGTGTTACAACTTCTTTCCTACTTTCTCAACATCCTTCAAAAATAAACAACAGGAGAAAAGAATAGTATAGTGAGCCCAGTGAACATAGTCTTCAGTTATCAATTAATTATCAAATTAATTTTGTATCACAAKTATCAATAAAATTAGAGAGTCCCCTTTGAACATAAAGATTGTGAAGTACAGAAGACAAAATATGTTTATAGAACATTCTTTCCATAATATGTGGCTAGAAAAGCATATTAACAATTATCAACAATTAACAATTGATCAAACAATTATCAATTAATCTCAATGAATTTTTTTGATCCACTTAAGGTTTAGATTTTTGTCAAATCTATTGCTTTTTGTTATCATTTCTTCATTTGTATTTAAGTTTAGAAAGGACACTCTCACTCTTGATAGTTATTTACCTCTACTGCTATAATTTTACAATTTCATTTTTTATTTCACCTGAGGTTTATTTATTGACTGATTGTGGTACTGGGGGTTGAACAAGGCCCTGAATGTACTAGGAAAGCACTCTACCAATGACTATACCCCCAGTCCTTGCCTAAAATTTATATTGGTATATGGTGAGAGGCAAGAATCTAACATTCTTTTTGTGAAGAGCCAGTTGACTTAGCATCATTTATTAAGTAATTTTCCCTTATTGGTGATATTTCAAATCAGTATACTAATTCTTAAATAGAGAGGGTCTGCTTCTGGGTGTCTACTGTTGATTTATTGACTTGTCTATTCTTTTGTGAGCATCACAATTTTAATTAATTTGCTAAAATTTTAATAGCTATATTTTTAAAAATGATAAAATCATAATTGCTCCTACACAACTTACCTGGTTGCATTTTTTCACAACATCTGGTCCAGGTATGGCATTAAGAAGAGCTATAATAAGGTAGCGATTTAGCAGCTTCCCTAGTCCTAGCTCTTGCAAGGTGTTGTCTGAAAGGATTCCATTCCAAAGAAGAATATTGCGGAAGAGCTAAAATAAAACATAAAGTGAATACACATGTGTTTTCTTTTCTTTTCTTTCTTTCTTTTTTTTTTTACTAAAGATTGAAGTCAGGGTCAATCAGCCACTGAGTCACATCTCCAACACTTTTTATATTTTATTTTGAGACAGGATCTCACTAAGTTGCTTACAGCCTCTCTAAGTTGCTGGGGCTGGCCTGAACTTGTGATCCTCCTGCCTTAKCCTCCCAAGTTGCTGGGATTACAGGTATGAACAATTGTGCCTGGCTTATGCATGTGTTTTCTAAGTCTCTAACCAACATAAAGAGTTGATCATACTCTTCAATTCTCATTACAATTAGCCTGTCAATTAACTATAACTCTCAATTACAATTAGTTGGAGCTATCAACTTTAGAACTGAAAACATCTCTGAAAAATACCTATTTCTTTACAACCTCTATTTGCTCACTCTATTTTCCTTTTCTAGTATAAYCACCACAAATCTGTTTCAAATGAATTCACTAGGTCCTTTCCAGACCAACAATCTTCCTCCTCAATCCTGAGTACAAGGCTGCAGGATTCCAGGATTCATAAAGGACCATTGTTAAAGCCAGGGCCACTGTTGCCAAGGTGTGACCTTAAGAAGTCAGTCAATGCTGAGAACTTCATTGCTCTGATATATAAAGAAAGAATAATAACCTGGGCATTTGGTGAAGTCCTCCAAACTATAAAATAAATACTAGCTGTCTTTAAGTCCAGATCTTCCT